AGTGAACATAGCACTCATCCGGCATTGCTGCATGAAAAAAATATTTGCCCTATTTCAGAAATTGTATTAATAAGAATTATCACACAGAAATGAGACAACTATTTGTGCTGCCATCTGGTAAACAGACGTTATATGTCAAATTAGACCAATATCTTATAGGACTCTTAAGTATTGATTGCTGTTCAAAACAATAAAAAAATGATAGAATTTTTTTGAATATTTATGGTTAGAAGAGGTTCATTCGTAGTTACCTTCGAATTCATCAGCCTTACGGACAATCTGATATAGGGCTGTAGTGATATCCATTTTCACTTGCAAATATAAATGAAAAATAGGTTCAAATGAAAGTAGCCTTTCGAGGCTTTGTTGCATCAAGTTAAAGTTATTATTAAAAAAAATATCAAAACTTTCGATATTTTCAGTAAAGTTGATTAATTTAAAAACTTTTAAATATGCTATCAATTTAAATGTAATTATATATAGGATAAAGCAGGGCTTAAGGGTCCGTAGGTAAAAACGTCGACTACCAATATATCAAAAACAAGTAAATTTTGGAAATTCTTAACAACAATGTTTGAAAGTAGAGAGAGAAAAGGATGTGTAATCAGAAGATATGGCCATGTTTGAAAATCCAATCCATTTTCTTTCGTTGTTAGTTTTCTTGGTTGTGAGCACTGTTATTTAGTTTACGAAACCTTAATATGATTTTTAAGTATACGTTACTTGATTATTTTATGAGATGAATTGTTAATTTTAAGTTAGATTCAACAGATGTTTTTATATGACCTCTATAAAAGCTAGCATGTGGGTAGGGCAAAAGGATCAACTAAACCTTTACCCTGGCAAGGGCGTAAACAATAACAAAATAATAAATAAAATGTAAAATCGATTGAAAAAGCAATTTTACAGGAAATAAATTAAATTAAAAGTTATTTTAACGCTGCTGATGAATATTTCTGAAATAGCAGATCAAGGTTGTGTACAGTGTTATTTTTGTAACAAATGCGCCTATGAAATTTACATTTTGCATTGGTTGAATATCGTGGCTATTATTTCGAAAAATCCATTTAAATTTAAAAATAAGAATTTGTTTCTGTTTGCCCATTGCCTGTCCCATTTCACCCCGCTTATGGAGTAAAAAGGGACAGATGATAAATTTTAGAAAAAAACAAAAAAAGCACATTTCTATAATTAGGAATTAACTGGGAATTTCACTGAACATAGTTCGATAGTTGTTTGTTTGCAACATGTTATGTGTTGTTTTGTAGTTCATTCATTATAGTTACTGAGAGTCAAATTGGAACTTTGTGCCCCGCCCTACCCTAAGATTAAATGTACCTTACTTATCTACTGTTGCAAAGATGGTTAACGCAAGCTGATGCGTCAATATTTGTTAAGATTTTTTGGTTGTCTGAAAGTCATCTAATTATTTTATCTATTCCATTTGAATATTATTGAATTCTAGTTAAAGTTGAAAAATCCTTTTATTATTAATTCCCTATCTATTCGATAATAAATTACGCGCATGAAGATCAATATTCACCGTCATAAATTATCATTAAACATATTCATAAATCTTCAAGATCATTGTAACTCTTGAACCGCAGCAGATACGACCGCATACTTTATACATGTACAGTATGTGCTCCTTATAAATAAATCTATAAATAGAGAAATAAATAAACCCATTATGCTTACATAAGAACATATTTATTTACGAGTGTACTCTCTCATATTTATATTGCATTATTATTATTACATATTTTGATTTATCGATGGCAGCGTGTTGTAGTGTGCTCGTTCAGTTATTAAATGTCCTCCTCAGAACGCAATAAATTAAGCCATTCTAATGCGTGCGAAATTCACATAAAATTATTTTATACGCCACTCGAATCGTAAAATTTTCGACATAATTATTTGAGTCTATAGTTTTCAGTTGTTGTAAAAGCCAAAGCCAAATCGGAAATGGATAGGACTGTAGAAACACTAAATGGTTAAAAGTCAACACTCGGTTTTAGATATGCAGTAGGTATAAGGCAGTGATTCACAAAGTAGTCTACATGGACCCCCAGGGGTCCACGGCAGGGAAAACAAAATTTGGGGGTCCACGGCATATTTAAAAATGAACCATAAAGTAAAGAAAAACATTACATATGAATGGTAAAGTATAGTAACAATGTGTGTCAAGTTTCATCAAAATCGCAACGTGCATTTTTGAGAACATACCATCTCTTTAAATGTTAGTATTGAGCGCGGAGCGAGCCACCCATCAACCTCGCATATCTCAAAAATAATTGAATGTTTCACCTTTAAATTTCTGTCAAATATTTAGTAAAGTGTAGTAACAATGTATGTCAAGTTTCATCAAAATCTAATTATGCATTTTTGAATAATGCATTATGCAAATGTACAATTTGTTTCAATTATAGTATTGAGAGCGGAGCCAGCCACCCATCAACCTTGCATATCTCAAAAACTATTGAAAGTTTCAACTTTAAATTTCTGCCAAATATTTAGTAAAGTGTAGTAACAATGTATGACAAGTTTCATCAAAATCGAATTATGCATTTTTAAAAACGTACAATCTGTTTCAATACTAGTATTGAGAGCGAAGCCAGCCACCCATCAACCTTGCATATCTCAAAAATTATTGAATGTTCCAACTTTAAATTTTTGTCAAATATTTAGTAAAGTGTAGTAACAATGTATGTCAAGTTTCATCAAAATCTAATTATGCATTTTTGAATAATGCATTATGCAAATGTACAATTTGTTTCAATTATAGTATTGAGAGCGGAGCCAGCCACCCATCAACCTTGCATATCTCAAAAATTATTGAATGTTCCAACTTTAAATTTTTGTCAAATATTTAGTAAAGTGTAGTACCAATGTATGTCAAGTTTCATCAAAATCGAGTTATGCATTTTTGCAAACGTACAATCTGTTTCAATAACAGTATTGAGAGCGGAGTCAGCCACCCATCAACCGTGCATATCTCAAAAACTATTGAATGTTCAAACTTTAGTAGACAAATGTCAAATATTTAGTAAATCATAGTAACCATGTATGTCAAGTTTTATCAAATATTTAGTAAAGTGTAGTAACAATGTGTGTCAAATTTCGTCAAAATCGAATTATGTATTTTTAAGAACATGCCATCTGAGGATGATTGGAGGAATAGTTCAATAGGAAGTCAACGAAGCATCGACTACAACTAAATTGTGGTACAATGCCCGCCTTTGACTCGTGCCATAACAATGAGAACTTGCTGCAAACCTTATTACTTGCTACTACCATATGGCAGATCATAAAATTACCATATACACAATCGTCGGCGCCAACCATATCCAGGAATTGGCTAGATTAATTATTACATAACCTGAATCCACTACTTTTTGTCCTTGTTTCATGTATTTATGTATACTGCATTACCAGGTTGGTTTGGGAATGGATTGAAAACATGCAATTTTTTAATCAACCATGTCGTGATATCACGTTATGCAATCGCGGTGCTTGTTGTTTTATCATCCGAAGCCATTTATACAGCTTCCTAAATTGACAAGGTTATTTATTCGATTATTTAGCGATTCATTATTCTCAGCAAACAATCAAGTTTGATCTTTGACAAAATTTGTTCATCATGTTCGTTTTTATACAACATTATATATATATAGATATATATATATATATATATATATATATATATATATGTGTGTATGCAAAAAAACATGAGCTTCCCGTGGCTCTGTGATAAGAGCTTCGGTCTCGCAACTGCAGGTTCCAGGTTTTATTTTCGTCTCGGACAGGTTTCTAATTAGAAGTAGTGGTAAAAGTTTTGAACTATTAATAGAAATCAGAAATATGTATTTGAAATAAATATTAAGGTATAGAGATTCCTTAGTTTTCGTTTGTAAAGATATATTTATTAAACAGGTCATCGCCATTTCAGACCCTAAAATTTTATAGAGTTTTAATTCTATAAGGTATCAATGAAACAATGAAACTAATGCAATAACAATTGAGTTACTATATTATTTTATTTGCTTTTTTACAAATTAAATGCATATTTTAAGTGGAAGTTGATACCAGATATACCTGTGACTACTTATGAGGTCCTATTTCCGTTTTAATGCTACTTATACCATAATTACGGTAATGATTCTGACATTTTACTTCCGAAATTTTGTAACTCGAACGATGTATATATATATATATATATATATATATATACATATACATATATATATATATATATATATATCATTTATTTTATAAGCTACGTTCCTGCAATAGTCGAAGTTCCGCCAGATTTCGCAATTGAAATGCGTTAGTTTAAATGCAATGATTAAAGTCTCACATCAGGATAATATAAACATTTGCCACTGAGATAAGATTAATAAATAACGTCTCAAATTTCTGCTGTCACGAATCTGAATCATTTTTAGATTCACTGTCCGGTGTGACAAGTAGCTATTCTAATTTAGAGCTCACTTGCACTATGTAGTATGCACTTTCACTTGGAGTAGAACTGGGAATATTGTCTTAAATTAGTTAGACACAGACTGATAGACTGATAATAAATAACTAAATTATATGAATATATAGGTTGAAATATTTGTCGTCATATTGTGTCAACAATCATGCTCGGACGTCCAATCACTGGGTTGGCATTCGATTTAGGCATTCTAAGAACTACCAAAAACTTGCTGATGTTCCATAATGGAATAGTCGCATATTAAAAAATAAATACTATATTGGCTATTGAATAATAAATGCGTATAAGGCCTATAGCCGATAGAAGGGCAGGATTGAAAAAGAAATTCATGTATTTAGCAATGGTCAGAGGATTTTGTATTTTTAAAGTCATTTTTCAATCCTACTGAAAAAATACGGTGTTGAAGAAACATCTATGAAAGAAAAAATGTGCCATTCACCTATTTTTAATGTAAATTTTATTGTATTCGCTATAACTTTATTTATACATTTCTATTTCCTTTCAGATCGAAAATCGACGACAAAGGCGCCACAAAGTGCTTCGTCGAGCAATGTGATATTGGATAATAGCAACTATGCCGAGTACGTAAAACCCATCAAGATCGACTCGCCGCCGTTCCACGAATTAGATTTACTCTACGGAAGATCTTGGGCAGAAGGCTCAGACGGTAAATGACTAATTTTTTAAACTCATAATTACGAAAACCTAATCAATTCGATTTCCAACCAATATCTTTCGAACTACATTTGATTTTTTAAAATCGTTTCAAGATTGTGGCTAAAACGTGAATCAAAGATTTTATAGTTTTTTGCGATTTACAAAGAAATTCATGGGCCAGTCGTCTCTCAAAACCAATCAACACGGTTAGTCCTTACTCCTTAGCAATATAGATATAGTGGCTTTTAAATTTTTGAAATCGAGGGCCAAATATAGGCTTACATACATACACACACGCGCATACTTCTTCCAAAGGTCTCTAACAATTCTAAATGATTTGCTTGAAACATTGAACAACAACTTGAAAACTGGATTTTTCTGGAAAAATCATAAACTTCTTTTCCAGGAAATTAAAAAATATAGTAATAAATTAGTAGTAATCGCAAAAAAAACTAAAATAATTTTTTTTGTATATTTTTACGTATCAAGGCTTTCTGAACTAAGAGGATACAACCCATTAGAAAAAATGCATGTAAATATGTCTGTATCTGTGTCTATGTTTATATGTGTGTATGTATGTATACGTGTGTGATTTTTTTGTGCAGCGAAGACAATGATTTTAAGCATGCTAGACAAAGGTTTGCTAAATCGTCAAAACATTTTTTTTCAACATTTAATTACGAAGAAACGGCGATTCCCAACCAATATCTTTCGATTATTTTTTGAAGTCGGTTCAAAATTGTGGGCCAAAGCGTGGACTAAAATTTTGACATTTATTTGCTTGTTGCAAATCTAGTTCTACACTAGTCCTTATCGAGTTACATTGAATGGCTTTTAAATTTTGAAATCAAAAATCGACTCACATACACACACATACTTTTCCCAAATTTCGTCTTGATTCAGAATGATTTAAAACGTCGAGAAAACATAACATTAGCAAATCGGATTTTTTCGTAAAATCGTGAACTTCTACGAAAAATTAGAATTTTTAGGTTTGGACAACCATTGCCACTTGGGGTGTGAAAAATACATGTTGGCTGATCCTCAGTTATACTAAACGCGATTAGAAAATTTCAGCGTTGGTCAAAACGTTTCTGCAGCGAACTATATGGCACAAGAATATATATAAATTATAAATATTTCCCAGTTGCTTAAGATGATTCAAGCTCGAATCATTTAAATCATTTCCTAAATATTTCTTATGCCCATTACTCGACTTTTTAATCCCAGTCCGACATCTTCCGCTCGGTTAATTACGTTCGCCCGCTCAATGCGCAATTAAACACGATGCCAACAGTTCATTAATTTGTTTTCGTTTGTTTTTTGACCCCGATACAAAGCTGGCCAGAATTCATATAAACTTAATCCTCATAAATGATCCAAAGATAATATTGGTATCACAAGGGCACGAAGAATTACTAAAAACAGCTGCGCAGCCATTTGTTAAAATTTTATAGTAAATATGTCCCTGGACTTATAATGATGAAGGTATAAATTTATATATTTCATATCAATTATTCATTATGGATACAGGATTAGGACTCATTAAAATTATGTGATTACTCATGGATTACCCAGATAGAGTAATATTAGGTTGATACGCACGATTGGTACATACTTAATAAATTACCAGGAGTTTTCTTTTTAATATACATGCTTATAATGTCATTATATAAATTTTATATACATTGTTTGATCGAATAATTTTAGATGGGTTACAGCATAGTGGTCACTTCAGGCATAATACAGCAGAAATTTGGGACCCTCATCCGCAATACGAAATTCGTGCATTTGGTAATAATCTACGTTTGGTTTTGGAACACAATGATGACTTTGTGGCGCCTCATTGGCAGGTTAGTAAAATAATCACATAGCCGAATAAATTATATTTAAAAAATGATTGCTTGAAAGTTCTGAAATCACAATATCGTTCTATTGGAATCCTTTATGGAACGAATCTAGGAAATTGTTTGTAAAGGATTGAGTCGAGGATCGTACCAGCACTGTAACCAGACAACTGATTAAAATAGCATTTTAAACGCACAATTAAAATTTTGTCTAAACTCATATTATTTTCCGCTAACTATGTTAGAAGTTAATAAAAGTAACTTTTTTAATGCGCGTACTCCTTAAAACAAAGGATTCCGACTTTTTGTATCAGCATTTCCCGATTTTTTTTAAATAATGTGCCTACTTAATTTGTCAAACAGCAATCTAACTTTTACTTAATTAATATTATAACTCTTTTAACGAGCTACAAAAATATATTCAACAATATGTAAAAAATATACATAAAAATGATTATTTTGGAACAATTAGACTTTTTTGGTTTGTGAATAAAAATAGAGAGTTTTCATATATGAATTAATAAAATTTTGTGTTGGTGGTGTCAAAGATTTAGTTTGATATCTGTTCGGACGTATTTTCTTTTTATTATATTGGCCATGAAGATGACAACCTTCATGGCATTAAGCTTTACACGGAATGGTTGCTACCCCTGGTAGATGGGGTAGCGGAGTGTTTTAATGGAACTAATTGTTCACTTCTAAAAGTAAAGTCCGCAAACCAACATGTATAATAGATAAATATATCTTCTTTCATTATAACTTAGTAACAAATCAGTGATTTTAATAAGAACTGAAACAAATACATAATATACAAGCAAATCAGTGTTTAATACAGTCCACAGCTACAAGGGTTAAATTATAACCCAACAACCTGAGTTAATCGAAGGAGAGTTTTAATAAATTTTATAACTACGTAACATAAATACAATTTCTTTATCTTTTAGATTTGCTGCCTATCTTGGGTCACTTTTTGAAAAATAAGTATATGTCACTTACCTTTTTTGGATTTTTTCTTGCTTAAATTTTGTTTTTCGGCAGATGACTCATAATTGGGATAACGCGACATGGATTCCACATCGCGGAAATTCTCGGCCGGAAAAATGTTTTTATAAAGGGCGAGTTCGTGGAGATGATCGATCGACTGTCGCAGTTTCGCTCTGTGATGGAATGGTGAGAATAGCACTAGTCCAGTGTTTTTTTAGATTTACTTTTGTATGATAATAAATAGTCGAAGAGCCAGCAAGGGATAAAAAAGTCAGCTTGCGATTTCCGTTGCCAGTTCATTTTTTAATGTATTTTCTGATATTTTATTGCATTTTGTGTTCGATCTTATCAATTCATAACTGCAACGGAGTTTGTCCGCAGACAGGTACAATCCGTACGTCAAAAGGATCGTATTTCATAGAACCACGAGAGGACTTTCCGAACAATCATACTGTACAAAGTATTCTGCATGTAATCTACAGGGCATCGCCGATCCAGAGGCACGACCATGCTGATGACGAACCGAAGGACCCACATTGCGCCTTGGATGATACCAGTAATATATCAATATTATATTTTAATAATCTTCAATTATATTATTATTTATCTTATTTAGCAATTGAAACCTCGTTTCATTCATAATGGGTATTTGCTGATTTTCGAACGATTTAAATTCGATGTCTCTCCATCTTACCTACGTGACTTTTTTAAAAATATCGAACTAGTCAAATCAGCATTTTTGAAGCAATAACTTGCATCTCGAATATCGCTTTATTTGCGACCGTTCAAGAACATCCGATCAAAATTATAGAATATGACTCTGAGTCAGCAGTCAACTTTACAGCTTTGCCAACCGACATTAACAACATAATATCGACAGTAAATAAACTATAATATGTATTTATAGCACAATTGGAAAGGATGTTGATTGTAATAAATTTAGATGTAGTTATGATAGAAATGCATTTTCGGAGCGATAAACTTATGTAATAACTCGAATCGTGATGTATTCCGAAATAGAGGTAGTTTATGATAGATGGAATTCGTTCAACGTATTTTAGAAACGACAAATTGAACACGTGCAATAACACTTTCTATCTAAATATATATATCATTTTATTCTCTCGGTGCGACGGTTCACGTTTTCTATGTTTGTAACATACCATAATATTATTTCATATCATTAGTACCTCATTTTTTTCACCGTGGGAACCTCATTTGCTTCATAGTCAGTTTTGAAGTGATAATAATACTGAACTAGTTGTGCATGGCATCGTGCCTTAAAGCAAATTGCTGGAACTTGCCGTATCGAAAATTAATTATTAAAAACTTTGCAAAACTTTGAAAAAAATAGATTTTTGAGAAATTTTGAAATTTTTGAAAAAAATTGACTTTATTGAAAAAAAATTTTTTATATTCTGATTTTTTTTAAATCTTGAACATTTCTTTAAGCAATCGCGCTGCATAACTGATTTGGAGTCGAAATATCAAAGCGCGTAAGCGCCGCGTAGTCATCTAACGTGTAAACATTGGTACGGAACCCATATAAATGTACACAAAATTTGTACTTATTATTATAATCTTCATACAATATCTGATAATACGATGCATATATGATTAATGTTCATTTTTGACCGCAAAATGGCATTATTTGTTACTTTCTTTATTGGATCTCCCGAGACGCTGGACCTGCCTTTACAAAAAATTTACCACTTGTTTATTTCGTCAATACAAGTAAAATGTTTTTTGAATTATTTAAATCAGACGCTCCGTTATCTCAAAACCTAAAATACAATTTTTGGCACTTTTTGCTCCGTATTTCCGAAACGGCCTATGCTGCCTTTGCCAAAAAATCAGCACGTCGCCTTATCAGTAGGAATCGAATGATTTTTGAATTATTCAAATCAGTTTATCCGTGTTTGCAAATCGTCGACAAAAATTTGTATCCGCACACACACACATAGATCCATTTTTTATATTTAAGTACCATTTATGGTTTATTTATTTACTTAGGCTATAGAATTCCGTGCATTAGTAACTGAACTTGTGAGCTTTTAACTGATTATGCTTTCATAAATATATTCATATTCGTATTTATCTACCATATGTAGCAATAATTTCTGACAAAGAAATAGTGTTGTGACATTTTATAATCGACCTTTATTGCATCGGATTAATGCCACTTCGTAACCTTTATTTTCATATGTAGGACATATAATTTTTCCTCTATACCTAAGTATTAAAAGATTAAATTTTATTATGATATTTGTTAACTTATTGATTTGACTATGTTTTTGTTTTTCAGCAAATGATGTTCACGACGAACCTATTTTTAAAGACAGAATCATACCACAACCACTGCCTGAAAATCATCGCTCAAAGCGATCTGTTTCTGACAATAAGTATTATATAGAAGTTCTAGTCGCAGTAGATAGGAAAATGAAATTATACCATGACACTAAACTACAAAACTACGTACTGACATTAATGTCAATTGTAAGTTATATTTTTCAACTACGATTTTGTGATTAAAAATGTTATTTATTGCATGTTTTCTTTTGAGGTGTCCCAAATATACAAAGACGCAAGTATAGGCAACTCCATAAGTATAGCTCTTGTAGAATTAGCAGTATTAGAAGATTTAGATTTTGACAAGGATCAATCAATGTCACACAGCGGTACTTACTTAACATATTTATAAAAAACACTTTAGGGGATGATGTATATATATTTAGTTTTTTTTGCTAGGCGTATCTGCTTCAAATATGCTCCGAGGATTTTGTTCTTCACATCGCAAAAATCGGTTGCCTCATGACACTGCCATACTTCTGACGCGGTAAGATTATTTTTCTTATTTTACACTGATAGTAATAATTAAAGGTAAGCGGAGTTTCAGTTTTACATAATGTAAATGATTTTCTTATAACCTAGAATGAACAAATAGCACTATATGCCGCAAGTATCCTTTCAACTAACAGAAACTAATTCTTCACGTAACTTATTAGTAATTTATTTATAATGTATATTTATAATGTAGAGTCTGAAATTTTCATAACGTTACCCGTATGTTGAGTCACTTAGCAATCATAATTTTAATTATTATCATTCGACTACTTCCAACTTATTCCACAAATTTAATTTACTCGCTCAAGATTATTCATTTTCAACTTTTACTTAATCATAGATTCATATTATGAAAATGTCAAGACTCTGTCGTCATATGTAATACAAAATCCGCGCAACATATAATTACATTACTTAACAACAAAATAATAATATCCAGATATCATATTATATTAAATTAGTTTCGATGCGATTCATATAACTTTAATAAGTCTGCATCCTCTAACTTTCTATTTTGCGGTATAAATAAATTTAAATTAAGTTGCATGCAAAACATAATTAACGCCCCTAGAAAACTAGTACATTTCTCAGGGAGAACATATGCCGGAGTCCTCATCATAAGAAATGTGATACTTTGGGTCTGGCAGAACTGGGTACCATGTGTCAGCCAAAATCCAGCTGCGCCATCGTCCAGGACAACGGATTATCGGCGGCTTTCACGATTGCACATGAATTAGGACACGTGTAAGTAAAATTTATTATCAGATAATAATTGACTAATTACATAAATTTCTTTTGCACTCCGTTGTGGGACCCAGTCCGACATAAGATATGTACAGCAACTCCGTTGGTAGACCAAGTCTTACTTGGTCAACACTTCAGAATTCTCCTATTGATACCATGAGGACTCTACAAATCTGGAAGAATATTTGCCATGAAAGCTTTTTTGATCAAACAAGAAAAAGTAGATTAAAAAAACACACAGTCTGTCTCATATACAGCTAAAGTTCTACCGGAGTTGCTGACACGTCATACATGTCAACGATCTGGAGTGCAAGGGATTAATATTCGCTGTTTGTAAAAATTTTTGTAATTTTTTAGATTAAACATGCCACACGACGATGATGACAAATGCGCCGCTTTCCGAGACAAAGTAGTCCCATCTGCCAAAGACAACATTATGTCGCGTATGTTGGATCACAATACATACCCATGGTCCTGGTCTCAATGTAGCAGACATTTTATCACAGACTTTCTAGAGTAAGTCGTTATTTCTCATTCATAAAAAAATATTTATTAAAATATAAACTTATTTTATTTATTTTCAGAGCAAACAATGTTGCGTGTTTGCGTAATAAGCCAAGCGAAGATTTAATTGATGACGGCAGGAAACATCGTAACAACAGATTACCTGGTGAAGAATTCAGTGGTAATAGGCAGTGCGAACTTGTTTTTGGCAACGGATCCAAACTTTGCACTAGAATGGTACACACTTAAATTTATCTCGTAAATCTGAAGTCGTTGACCCCTGTAATCGTACCTAATATAAAACAAAATAACAAGTTACTGAGATTTCTATTAGGACTATATCTAAATATTATGTTGAGCTTTGGACAAAGAATACTGAAGTAAATAGTAATAAAAAACGAAAAGTTTTTACCGAAAATGATTCATTGTCGATGTTTCGGAACTATGTCATGTGTAAAGAACATAATCTTGGTTAGAAGATAAATAAATAAAAAAATGTATTTTTGGTAACTTTTGAAAAATTAAATAACTGGATTACTGAATTTTTTTTTGAAGTTTACATAAATATATAAATAGTAACGTCAATCAATAACAAAGGTTTATTAAATAACAGTTACTATCAAGCAGAATAAGTTTTATATGAAAATTTATTTTTCCACAGCCGGTGTGTACACGATTATGGTGTATGCCACCAGACGTTCAGCATGAATTGCACCAGAAAGGATATAAAAGTGATGGTCCACAGGGTTGCCGGACACAGCACATGCCATGGGCCGATGGCACGCCCTGTGGACCAGGAAGCTGGTGCCACAAAGGTAAAGTTCTCATATTATAAGTTTAATATTATTTTAGTATGAATTGATATTTTTGCTTTATGAACTATCTAGTTAATGCCCACTTGACATACTGTTCTTGCTAATAATTCTTGGCTCAATTTAAGTTTGTACCAAATTTTTTTTTCTAGGTGAATGTGTAAGTGCGAATCGGAACGCCTTGAAAGCGACCAACGGTGGATGGGGCCAATGGCAAGGTTGGGGAGCATGTTCTCGAACATGTGGCGGTGGTGTCCAGAGTTCGGTGAGGCAGTGTGATAGTCCTGCACCTTCTAACGGTGGACAATATTGCGAAGGTCTACGTGTACGTTATAGATCATGTAACACCGATGATTGCCCACCAGAGGATACAGATTACAGGTAAGTGTAAATATTACATGCACTAAAATTTATGTAAATTTATACACAAATACAGTTGTTTTTATTTGTTATTTTTGTAGAGAACAACAGTGTGCAGAATTCAATAAACGAGACTTCAAAATCGATTGGATGAACAAAACACAGAAATGGGTACCGAAGTATGGTGGTAATTATCTAAAATATTCGCGACGTGTTTTAATATGGAATATTTATATTTTTTTAAATTTACGCGCAGCTTAAAAAGTATGCAATTGCAGGAAATTTTAAAACCAGAATGATTCGTCATGCGAAAGAAGCATTTCTTTCATTGATACACTCACATTTCCTATAGTCATTCTATCATTATTTTTATTTTATTGTTATTTATTTTACTACCAACTGTAATTGTAGTTCTATTAGTGGTTCGCTAGTTATGCATTTGTTGTATCACGTGTTATTTGTTTTTCAAATACCTTTTATCATTTTGTATTGCACAATATTATCAACAATGAACATCTAATATTTCTTTCTTCTTGTGTGGGCTGGTGACTCGGATGTTTCATGATTCACATCACATTTTTTGTTTATTATTTTTCGACAGTGTCCGTTAATGATCGATGCAAATTATATTGTCGGGTGCAAAATAGTTCGAGATACTTTCTGCTGAAGGACAAGGTAGTGGATGGCACCAGATGCTCGCCTGATAGTTTCAACAAATGCGTCAACGGCATTTGTAAGAAGGCGGGTTGTGACAATAAACTCGATTCAGATATGAAATTAGGTAATTATATTACGATCACGGTATATGTTATTTGTTCGAGAAAGTTATTTAACGTTAAAGTGAAATTTTCGTCGCTGATGTTTTCTTATTATGTTTGTCGTATTGCATGGATGTATGTATTGTTTTATTGCTCTGTTTTGTTAATTTCGAAGCATTTTAGATCTAAGTACTATTTATCTTAAAGTAAACTAATTTATATTAGAATTAGAAATATTAAAAAAAAATCTGATGACTATATCTTTTTTGTTACTATGTATGTAATTTAAATTCGATCTATAACGCTTCTTAAATTAGAACCGTTGCGTTTTTAATGAATATTTTCTGTGCTGTCCATCGTTATATTGATGCTACTATTTGTTGTACATTTCGCATTTTTGTTTTATGTCAAACTTTACATTAAGAACAACATCAATCTTGGATTTCAGTTATTGGATTGAAATTTTGAGTAACAAATTAATAGGCTAAATGCTAAGCTAAAAATTAGAATGGTTAACTGAAATTTTGGATGAAGGCGCATCTTCTCCAAGTAGGTTAGGAAGTTTGACAAACTGCGTTTTATATAACAGTTTTTCAAAAATGTGCTGTTTTAATAATTTTTTAAGAACCTCCTTTCGGATCAAAGATTTTCAATTTCGTCGGTCCAGAAGTATATGTTTATGACATCTATTACACTCTGGCCACAAACTACTATTATGCAGTAGCACATTTATCATTTGTTTTATCATAACACGAAACAAAAACATATCAAGGTTATAGTGATCTGCGCCATAAAATGATGATTTACATATTGGTGTTTGCATAAACCATAATCTGGCATACACACTCAAGTGATTGGTGGCACCTCATGATCCTAAGTAAAACAAACTGATAGTAATACGATTTTTAGTCGGAGTATTAATAATATTTTTGAACACATGTGCAATTTCAGCATTTTGAATGTGTTCAAAAATATTTTGACTTAAAGTTTTCTGCACTCTAGTAGAAAATGCACGTATTATTAAAATCTTAGTATTTATTAGTGGAGTCAATAAATATCTTAATCACCAAATGCTAAAAATAATTGCTCTTATTAACTTTTTTTAATAGTAATTCTTGTATGTTGATACTCTTATACTTGATAAAAATTGTATACAAAAATTGTTTGAATAAAGGGACATCCATTAATTATATGTAATTATAAAAGATCACAGAGCTGGTTAAAGAGTCTTACATAAGATGAAAATATTTAAAAATATATTTTGTTGGCTTGAAAAAATGCACGTATTTGATTCTAAATGAACCATATATCGAGCATCAAACATATTAAAATCTGTATCAATTTAACAAAAAATTGCTACTTTTAAGGATTTGTTGGCTCTACTGTACTGCACTGCGTTGCGTTATTAGATTTTTATATGCCTGATCTTATTGTTAGACTACAATTTACCTAATGTAGGTGTAAATTGTTACTGTCTACAATATACGATGTATAAAATCTGAATGTTTACTTCAATCTAAGTAGTTGAATTTCATCAATCAACAACATCGAAACCCACTTCAATATTAAACCTCGTACAATTACATTGCAATCATTTCACTTGCGTACAGAACATTCATAAAACGCGCCAATATTACTCGCACAACATACAAAACAAATGTTACTGTTTCCAAGAAACGAAACATGGTTGTGCTTCTTTCGTTATTATTTAGATAATTTAAGATTATTGCATACTACAAATTGTGGTTAATGAAAATAGAAACCCTACACATTTGATTCGAATCGGCAAATTGTAAAATTTACGATTGAGTTTTACGATATTATATACGCAATATAATTCACTATTTCCTGAATGGAATGAAGAATTTTTTCTGTAAGTTATTGCAGTATCATAAAGATACTAAAAAATAGATTTTTCAGCATGTGTACGGTTGAAAGTGAAAGTTTTAATTCATTAACCTTACGCAAATCAATTGTATAAAATATTGGCATTAATTGTGTTTAATTAAAAGCTGCCAAATGATGTTGGCAGACCAAAATTATGTGAACGCTACAATATATATATATATATATATATATATATATATATATAATAAATTACTTTATTAATTTATGTAAATATTACCTATATCTAATATATATAATTTTATTAATTAGTTTTGTGTGATGATATGTCTTTATCAATTATATTTTGCAGTGCTACAAAGTTAGAACACCGATGTCCAATTGGCGAAGTAATTTTTATTTCTGTTTATTTTTTTTTATTTCTGTTTATTTAATAGGACCAAGGGTTAAATTTGAGTCAAATCCCATGTAAAATTTAATTTTTAAGTTTTCCAAATTATTTCAACAGATCGTTGCGGTATTTGCGGAGGAGACGGTTCAACGTGCTATGTGGTAACTGGTAGCTATAACCAGTCCAGTTATGGATACCACACTGTTGTCAAGATTCCTAAAGGTAATGAAAAATATATAATGAAAAAAATTATTAAAATAATTGAATTATTTAGTTCTTGCTATATCACATTGAAATTTTTTATTACACATCCGCAGGTGCTTCAAATTTGGAAATAATTCAGCGTGGTTATCGAAACTCAAGCAAAGACGACAATTTTCTGGGTACGTATTCATAATGTACTCAAAAAATATTATAGCTTTTGATTTTATATGTATGTCTAAATTCTCTCTTCAGCTCTCATGGACGGGCATACATCCGAATATATTTTGAATGGAAACGATATGGTCAATCTTCATCGAAAATTATTTGTATGGGGTGGAGTTACTATTGAATATACAGGCTCGAATACAACTAATGAAAAAATTAATAGTTCTCGTACCAGACAACTGAAGTATGATTTGATAGTACAGGTAAATAATAGATAGGATAAAATCGGTTTTTAATTAATTTTAAGTTTTTTTCAAATTAGGGTAAAGTTGCTGAGGTCGGTACCCCCTAAAGAAATAATTCTGTGATATATTGTGCAATTAATTTACATCATTTTTTGCTTAATCTTTATTTTGTTGTCATATGATTAAGAATTACCTACTGAGGTCCACTCTGCTTTTGTAGGTCCTGTCTGTCGGCCAAGAATATCCACCAGACATTGTTTATGAATATACTGAATCAAAGCGTATGGAGTATATGTGGAAAATGTCATCATGGTCTAGCTGTGATAGAATTTGTCAAGGAGTCAGGTTTGTAGTTAAATTTGTGAAAGTTTCCATAATTATATAATTATGTATATATCTATTATTTGCACATTTCAGTTATCAAACCCCACAATGTGTACATCGTCAAACCCAAACCATTGTATCTGATGATCACTGTGGTCATGAACATAAACCAGACAGGAAAGAGAAAACGTGCAACGATATATGTACTTTGAGGTAATCATGATTATTGAATATAAATATTTTTTGAATATTTATTTATATATATTTCTGCCCAGTTGGGACGTCGCCAGTTACTCAGAGTGCTCGGTTACGTGTGGGAAAGGTATTCGTCGAATTCATTGGCAATGTATCCGTAAGGATATATATGATACAAAAGAAATATTGGACGATATCATGTGCAGTCACGTCGCTAAACAGGACCCATCTGAAGGAATAATTTGTGAAAGATCATGCCCTGAATGGAAATTTAGCGAGTGGACACCGGTAAGACGAAAAACCTGTATTACATTAAGGGGCACAACTAGTGTAACCGCCTAAAAGAAAGTTGATTTTTGGGAATTTATATTAAAAAAAACTACTTCATCAATCATTTCAAAATTTTAGGAATATATTTATACATGTTTTAAGAATACATAGTAAAATTTTTGAAGAAAAAAATTAAATATTTTTTAAGTTATCGTCGATATCCAACGGCGCGACAAAAAAGGCTCTTCACTGCTGCAGTGATTCGGCCTTTTACGTGGATGAAATTAAGAAAAATTCTCGTTAAACTAGGTAATATTGTTTGTCAGATGAACTACGATAAAGAAAAAATCAAAAATTGACAAAATGACGGCGTTTTTTTAAAAAAAGTCGAATTTTACCCAAAATTTTGGTCGTTTTTGGACTGACAAAATTCGATTTTTGATCCGATTAAAAAATCGATAGTTTATTTTATGGAGAACTGTATATAGAACATGTGAAAAAATTGATAGTGATCGGATCATTTGTTTTTGAGTAATCACTGCAGCAATTCGAAAAATGCTGTTTCGAGAAAAACGCGTTTAAAGATAAAATGATCGTTATACTATATACTATATATACTCTTTAAATGGCTGTGACCCAAAAACTATTTAAGATATCGATTTAAAAATTTTGTATGTTATTTTTAAAGGTATAACCTATCGAAATATGGAAAAATTGAAAATTAGATTTTTTGAAAATTTTACACTAGTTGTGCCCCTAAATAGTCTAAAAAATTCGGTTATTACTAATATCTTGTCTTTATCCTTTAGTGTTCGTGTACCACGGGTTTGCAGAACAGGACGGCGCGTTGTGTGGATTTTACAGGAAAACATATGCCTGACTATATGTGCGACTCCTCCTTACGGAAACTGCAACAAAATTGCGAGAGCAGTTGCGCGCAATGGGTCGAAGGACCTTGGACACCGGTAAGATAATTCAATAATTTTATGAACAATTAATGGAATAGTATATTCCAAACATCCAAATAAAAATGGTATATTTTCCGCCTATTTAAACTATTTTAAAAGTATATTTTTCAAATTTTTATATTTTTACATATTTCTCTATTATATTTACCAAATTCTACAAATTTCTTAAAATATTTTTAATTGATTTTTAGTTATCCACAACTGTTTACGTACAAGTATCTAAATTATCATCCGATAAATAATTTGATTTTATTTAATTTTTGTAATTATATATTAAAAATACGTAAATATAGCTAGATATCGTTTATTTTGATTTATTTCTCATATGTATTTAGAGGTAAGTAAGTTTTGTTCGACAAGTTTGCAATGGTGTTGGTGTGAAAAAATTCTCTAACCGATTAAATAAAATCAAATTGACCTGGCAAGGTTACGTCTATTACTTAACCCTTTCGCTACGAGAGTAATACGACATATTTTGAAATTTTCTAATCATTGTCAAAGTAAACATACTGAAATATTAAAAAAAAGTAAACAATAACTAAAGTAATAAATATGACAATTAGAATTGTCAATCATTTAACGCTGAGTCATAATATTGAAGCAAAAGTCGACACACCGGATGTCGTCTATAGACGACGCTCATACACCCAAGTAGTCAAGCGAATGTCGCCTATGGGAGACGCTCGTAGCCAAAGGGTTAATATTAAAACAGTTCTGCTTAATTTAAGTAACCTAGGAATGGAAATTCCAAAATCGTTGTGGATAATTAGATTGGTATATGGATTAACAGCATTAACAATTTTTCTTGCGCGGAGATGGCTAACATAGTGTTATTTTCGCCTCGTGCCTATGCTAATACTTATATTTTCTAATAAATACATCAAATGGAATTATAATTAGTGCTCGGCGACTTGTGGCTCTGGAATCAAGAAACGCGCGCTAATTTGCAAGCTGAATGACAAACTGCTCAGTGGCGAATACTGTCAAGGTCCCAGTCCTAAAACTGAGGATACGTGCGAAATGGAACCATGTCCTACTTCTGTAAGTGCCTTTCTTGGCGGTCTCGTTAGGGAAAATATGCATGATCTACTCTTATTTTCAAAGAGAAATATGCATTGTTTCGTAACTTACTATATCTTATTTTATTCCTATAGATATAGTCCAGTTTGAGACTAGAAATCACTTCTACATAATAAAATTCAAACATTTCTACTTCAAAATTTAATCTATATAATCTTCTGTATCATTTTCTTCAAACTTTATCATAAACACTTTAATGATATTAATAAATAATTTTAATTATACCTGATATAAACATGTTGAAGTAAATCTATAATCTTTGGACAACTATGATTTATCAGAGTTTTCGGTCGATGCAAAATTTAGAATATGACAAAAAATCAGTAAACAGTGATACATATATAAATATAGAGAACTCTCGAAAATTTATTTAGATTTTTTTTAAATACATTCTGCCACTTCTGGTACATCTATCGTCACAAGTAGTATTTGGGATCATTGTACTAAAACAAAGTTATTTATTTAGATTAAAAATGGACATTGTTAATAGACAATATTATTTTTCCAAAAGTGCTTCCAATTTTCAGTACATGCATTTTTCCAAATATCACAACTATAATATAAAAAAAACACCACAACTTTTGTTCGTGCTTTATTCGTACTTATTACTAGGTAATATGCAGCAAAAATTAAATTTGTTACGTCCTTGATAAATTAATTAATCATTAAGATGTTATGATCAAGTGATTATGATATTCTAACTTTTACTAGGCAATTAAGCACAAAAACATCTGCTTTATTTTAAATTAACGCTTTTCATATAATTCAATAATGTTGCTTTTATTAACACGCGCTATCAAAATATAACCAGATTCAAGATTTTATGCAATTCATATAATTTTTTATTGTCAATAAAAACAGGATCTGTATACAATGAGGCCTGAGGACAATCTCACGTTGTACAACGTGGGAAATTATGATTACAATTACGACAATCATAAGATTCATGCCGTTGATGTTGTTCCAGTAATGAAGCACCACTTTGCTTATGCTTGGCGAACTGGTCTATGGGGAGAGGTATGCAATAAAAAATAGTTTTATGTAATAAAGTGTTTAAATAACTAAATATTAATCACATCATATCGACAATCTGCCAGATTCAATCTCCAATTACTTGTCACCAGTTACAATGAGTGTTTCAAGTCCTATCGTCAGTATTATAGAAATTCTTTGATAGGCTAGACTTTTTTTACTATTGTAATAAAATATTGATGATTTTTTTGTTTTCAAATAGTGTTCGTGTACAAAACGTGAACGTGTACGTCTTGTGGAGTGCATGAGAGGTAACGAAGTCGCATCTCCTATATTATGTTCCGCAAACAGACCCCTGAACCGTGAGTCCTGCGAAGACCCACAATGTGGTAAATGGATTTATGGAGATTGGGGACAAGTAAATATATTATTTTCAACTACACAATCTAAATATATTCAAACTAATGCACTATTTATTTATTTTAGTGTCAACGAGATTGCATGCAGCGCAGACAAGTTGTTTGTCAACATAAGACGACCAGAATGACCTTACCGGATAGCGAATGCGACCCTAGGCAAAAAATGCAGGCTACTCAGTTTTGTAAACCGGATTTACGATATCAATGGACGGTAAGCATGGATATAAAAGATTTTGAATCAAATATTATTTTTATTTCAATTTTTAACTTTATTTGTTCAGTGTACGCGAAGCAGAGGACGTCACGGCATCCGGTGTAAGGATATGCTTGATTTTCTATCTCCTTTAAAGGATGACCATTTGTGCAGCCAGTGTTACCGGCAGCATGCTTATAAGGACTGCAAGACGCACCGTTCACCATGGCGCAAGACCGCCTGGTCACCCGTGAGTGATAAAAAAAACATCTAGATTTAGTTTTTTTTACTACAATTCAAAATACTATTGCTTTGTTATTTTATTTTCAATATTAGAAGTAAATAATTATGTTCTTCAATTTAAATATTTAATTTGAACTAAATTCTTGAATGAATGAAAAGATGTATATGTGCAGTTTGCGATTTTGATGAAACTTGGCACACATAGTTACTGTACCTTACCTAAAATGAGACCAAAATTTAAATTTGGAAGTAAGCCTTACACAATCTATCAATATAATTACATAATAACTTTATATTTACAGTGCATTGGCAAATGTGGTGAACCTGGCCATCAAGTTAGAAATGTTACTTGTGTAGAAAATATTAGACAAAGAATAAGGTAAGTGTGCTATTGTTTGTTGTTATCATTTTCTAGAAACTAATTAATAAAATTATTATTTTGTAGTCGACCCAATAGACATCCTTTACAATATTGGAGAGGTACAGAATCACCATCTACACAATACTGCAATATTTTCCCTCGACCATCTAGTGTAAGAACTTGCGACCCTGTTTGTAGCTATCATTGGGTTACTAAAGCATGGCAAAAGGTAATTATATAGTGATTGCGGTCAACTTATTGAATTCATGTATAATTAATTTTAATTTGATTTGGCTATAGTGCTCACACACATGTGGACGCAAAGGAAGAAAGAAGAGGCACGTTTACTGTTCATTAAATGGTGGGACGAAAGAATATGATGAACATTTTTGTTCAAAGATGAGAAAGCCAAATGCAGAGAAAAATTGCAACAGAAGAAAAAAATGCAAGTTTTATCCAAAATCTTTTTTTTATATTTGATTCGAATATTCATTAATTGAATTAATTGTATAGGCATTGCTACAAGATGCAAAGAAGTTCGAGCTTCAGAAGATGGTGAATACACTCTTATTGTTAATGGGAAAACTGCTAATGTATACTGTTCAGGAATGAAAACTGCAAATCCATTAGAATATATATCACTGCCTGCTGGATATCAGGAAAATAGATCGGATTTCGTCGACAAACGAAGGTAACGAAGTTGAAATAGATTAGTTCTATGACGATCGGTAAAGCCATTTCTTAATGATTAGCAGACAAGTGAAAAAAAAATCGTCCACATTTTCACCAGAAATCCTAAAATCCTATAGATCTACAAAAAGTAGTTTAATTATAAAATATCATTAAAGTTTGGTATAATAGAGGCCATGCTTTTATAACATTCTAAGCTCGTGTTCATATTATGAATTTATTCGAAAGACGTTTCAATTTTTATTGATTATGTCTATTATTTACCTATATTGAGAAGTTTATGCAACTTTCTTTTAGGTAGAATGCCACTTACGCTTAGTTTATTTATTTTAGATATACTTTAGAGTGCATGAAAGGATCTCATGAATGCAAAGAGTGTGATGAACGAGGAGCTCGAAGAAGTACAACATTCTTTGGAAAAGTGAGATTAAATATCACATCATTGCAAATTATAGGTAAGGTTCTTTAGAATTTCCTGTCATAATAAATTTTCATAAAAAATATGGAATATTTAATATGATTATTTTCTTTATTTAGTGAATGATACACGTTTCACTGAACAACATGGAGGAGAAGCACTGCCTTTTGCAAATGCAGGGGACTGCACTTTAAATGGACCATCCTGTACTCAAGGGTGGTTTGCCATAGATTTGTCAGGGACAGATTTTAGGATACACTCCCAGAGTTCATGGAACCAACTCCATTCAAATAATGCACCCCAGTCGTGCTTAGAACGCAGGCCCACTGTAAGGAACAGTTTGAATTTATCAAACCAAAATGATAAAATCATAAATCGTTGAAATTAATTAATATTTATTTTCAGCACCGAAAAGTTATGGGTCATTCAGGAGGCACAACTTGTGGAACATGCATTTATTCAAGAGGACTGTATGTGCAAGTGACTTAATGTGATTGTGTTAGCATTGAAGTGCACGGATATTATTTAAAACCCTAAATAAGGTTTAGATCTGAAATCGAGTTAAACCCCTTTGGATAAATCGGGTCTGCAGATACGAACATGTGGTTTCAGTGCATTGTGACCTTAACCAATTTCTCAGTGCTGTATTTTTATTTGAATTTTTATCATTAGACCTACTGGAAACAGTAGAATATCTATCCATCACTGTACAAAATGAGATTGACACTGCCAGTCGCTCTAAGTTAATTTTTTTTTATAAAAATAATTCTATCAATATTTATAGTCTCATTTCATGTAAATTCGCGTTAATTCTTAGGTTTAGTAATCTGTGTCATATTTATTAACATTTTTTATGTTAAAATTATAAAGATCATAAAAAATTATTTTATTGTTAATATTTGCCATATATTTTTAATTCTCTGCTTAAAGTATTCAATTACAAAAAGTCTTGGCAGAAATTATTTTCTATAAAAAGTAAAAATGAGATTAGCTACTCATCGTCATTTTTATTAAAATATTATACATTATTATAAATTCAGTACATTCAATTTGAGTTGTCTAATCTTTGACGACAAAGCTTGCGAAGTTAAGCAAAATAATAAGCATAATCATGTCGTTTTAATTGTTTTCAATAATTGCACAACTTTAATTGGACCAGTGAATTAATTATCGAGTCATGTTGACTTTATATGAAGTATTCTCTTTCATGGATATACATAAAAAGATATTATATGTGACATATATGTATCGAATATTATAATGTAAATTATTATCGTAAGAAATATATTAGGATAATTATATAGGTGTATACCAATTATTGATATTGTATGAATGTAAGCTAAATTGCTGGACAGAATAAAGTAAAAGCATGAAATAGAAACAAATAATTTTATTTTTTTATTAACTTTCAATAGGGGGTATATTATTTGTAATCTGAAGTTAACTATCAGGTTGATAATGAAGACGCAAATTAGAAATATAAATATACAATTAACAATTGTATTTACTATATATATATATATATATATAAATGCTTTGTATTTCAACAACTTATCATATATCATTCGTTTGATTAAATGGCAGTAGTGACTTTGCGTAGGTGAGGTGTTTTGACATAGGATTTTTATTCCAAATTTGATACGATTTGATGAAGTCCTGGGTTTCCTTGACATAGTTATAGTCATTTGAAGATAAGCTATGATCATTAATACACAAAATTCATGTGCAAAAAGGTTATAAAAGTTGAAAGACATAGCTTGGAAGAGCTTTGTCTTCACTTGGACAAGTTTAGGTCTGATTGTAAAGTTTGAAGAGGTCGACATGTAATAAAGTTCAGAATTAATTTTGATAAAATATAATGTTACAAGATTAAAAATGCACAGGCAGTTAGTATATTATTGCATTGAAAATTCTTCTGCTGAAGGATTTACCGGACAAGGACAAAATTACATGTATTCCACTTTCATGAAACATAAAAATACTTGAAGCTCAAAAACCTAATATGAGTCTCAGCAAATATATATTCAATATGAAATATTATTATTCTTATTCTTCTTATAAGAATATTCTTCTTTAAGAAAAATCCAATCGAAATTGAAAATAATTAACATTTGCAACACAAATGAAGAAGCTCACGGGCGACTTTTACAGATCACCCCAATAGTAACATCCAAGCCCTTGGCCAATATACATTAGAAATAGTTTGGTATGGCAAACCAAATCATAGGGTCAATCAGGGTATAGTTTGGCATGGAACTATATCCTGATCAATTCTTAGCAGCATTTGAAATAGTCCAGTCATTATAGTGAGTTCACCTCAAAAATTCGAGATACCCAGCTGTAAGTCTACCTACCATATTTAGGTTTTGAGACAACTTGAAGATGTCAATATACTAGTATTTACAGACTTACAGCTGGGTATTTCGAATTCCGAGATTCTTACCTAATTTAAGCTTAAATGACTGGACTAGAACATATTATTTCTTTATGAACGGATACAATGTTTTGTAAATCTTCTTATCAAAAGTATTCTGATAAAATCTAATAACTTTCCTAATTATTGACATGTGGTCTTTTTCGGGAAATTCGTGATCTTTTTCCTTTTTTTCACATATGTTATATATTATGCTGATTAAGATAAAATGTATTGCAATATTTATATGTTATTGTGACAGTATAATACTCTTAGGTAATAAACTCATATATACCACTCATATACTGTAATTCAACTTATTCAATAAAATACATGTTTTTAAAACTAAAAATATTGCAACACAAATAATTAATAATAAAAATTAAAAAAAAAATAAACATTTGCAACACGAATAAGCACAATTTGAAACAAATCGAACTGTCAATTTGACAGTAAACAACTTCATATGTCAGTTGTCACCAACAAAACAATTCATAAATCTGTCATTGTGTTTCGCGACAAATCCGCTAGGAGTGAACTTGTCTGCTGACCGAAGAACGCGTCGATGTGTCAAAGTGTCAAAATCATGACACTCGACAAATGAACAGTAGTGTATGGACATTAGGTTAGAAAACGTTTAACCGTGTTGGTTTCTAGTCGTGATACTGTGTTAATTAATAGAGTATTCTGTATCTATTACCATAGTGTTTTGTTTGTTTAAATAGTTTTTAAAGATAACAAAATGAACTTAATTATACTTTTCGGCCTGTGTTTTGTTACGTTTTGTACGGGACATGAGGAAAGCCCTTACACATTCCAATATACGAAAGAGAACTTTCAAGAGGGAATTGGAAAAAATAACCATTTCATCATGTTTTATGCACCCTGGTAAATATAATATATATTCAATCATACTATTTATATAAGAATAAGAATAATATTAAACCGCTTAAAATGTAGGTTATATGTTGTTTTTTATATGACACTCATATAAAATTACTTTTATATCTTTTACATTACCGTACATTTATCGTTTATTACTGTGTTTATAATTAACGTCTTGTGTGATATTTAATGCCATAATTTTTATTGTTCGATTTATAATATATTACCTCAATTCGTAATTTTCTGCATTTTTTCGTTGCATTTTTTAAACATTTTATTATACACACATTTTTTTTGAACAAATAAATTTTATTGATATTATTAAGAAAGTTCATAGTTTTGTTGTGCATTTTGATTGCGAACAATTTTCTTGGAAACCTCGGAAATCTGTATTTCTAGTTTTTTTGTAGTTCCTCATTTATTTTTGTATATTTTATTCCTTTATACAAGTATTTGTCTAAATATTTAAATACACATTTTTTTATTGTATTTTAATCACTTCATTAAAGTTCGCTGACACTTGTGATTCCAGAACAAGTTTTTATCAAAAAGACAATAAAATTATTTTAAGTACATGTAGATACAAATTTTCTTATCATGTTGATACAGATTAAAATAAATTCATTTATAATTTTATCACTTTGTGAGACTACAAAATGTTTAATAAAATGACATTCTGTTTTATTATTATTTTATATTAATTAAATTATATGTTCATAAATGTTGTATTTCGATCAGATAATCGTTCTAACAAATCTTATAATTTAATCAACAATTATTATATATTAACACAGTGGTTTCTAATCTATTCGCATTGCGACACCCACCTTCTCCCGTTTCCACAGATTGGAAACCACTGTATTAACATATACACACACCTACACTTTTATCCATATATGAAAAGAATAATTCCATCAACATTTCACTATATAAGAATAAAATTCTTAATTTTAATAAAAAGATATCTAATTTGTTGAAGCTATAAAATTATAGCTAGTTTTAAACTAAGAGCTTGTTATTAATTTCTATATAGATATAAAAACAGTAAAATATATGCCAACTTTTTAGAACCACCCCCCCATGTTTTTTTAAAAAAACACAATGTTGCACCCTGCTTAATTTTTCTACCAATTTTATAATTTATTTATCATATCAACTGATATTATAATTTATTTATCATGCTACAAATTAATATATAATAGGTACAAGTATACCTAATAATAATTTATTATTTTTTTATATAATTTAAACATTTTTGGTATATTTTCCGAAATAGTATTTTGAAATCTGTACGCCCCCATTAGAATAGCCTTGTGCCCCTCTGAGGAGGAGAATCCCCAGGGGTTGGAAACCACGGGTATTAACATATTCACACACCAAATTAGCTAATGTTTAATTAACAGTTAGATATTAATTTCTTTATAGCTATAGAAACAGTAAAATATAGCCGGTTTTCTTTTTTTACTAACTATTATATATTAACACAGTGGCTGCCAACCTTTTAGGACCGCGCCCCCCCTGTTTCTTTAAAAAGCACAATGTTGCGCCCTCCATATTTTTACTACCAGTCTCATTTTATACTCAACTTATATTATAGTTTATTTATCGTAATATGTAAAAGTATACATAAATAATAATTATTATTTTAACATTTTTGGTATATTTTCCAAAATAGTATTTTTAAACTTGTACCCTGTACGCTTCCAGTAGAATAGTCTTGTGCCCTTCCGAGGAGGAGACCCCCCAGGGGTTGGAAACCACGGTACTAACACATTCACGTACCAAATTATACAGATATGAAAGGAATAACAATACCATTAATATTTTTCTATATAAGAATAAAATTTAATCTCTAATATGTTGAAAATTTGAAATTATTAATATAGCTAGTTATTAATTTAATAGCTAGGTGTTAATTTCTATACAGCTATAAAAACAGCCTGTTTTCTTTTTTTTTAATGGTAGTTGTAAATAATAATCTTACATAAAAGTTCAGTCATACCTCATTTCATTATATAATATATTTCATTTCAAACTACAATTTAAATGAAGTAGATTTTTATAAGTGCTAATATAAAATTGTAGTGCATTTACAAACTACTATTTTTCTGTGAATTAAAATCTGGCTATTACTATTTCTACGTTTTTGATTTTCGATTGTCATGCTAGTGAGATATAAATAACGACTTTCAAAACGATAAGACGACGCATTTAGCTTTGTAATAAACATGAGCGACTGCCAAATTTTTTTATTATAATAGTCTAGAGAATTTAAAGTTCAAAGGTCAATAATCTTCACCGACACTCAATACTTTTACAATTGATAAAATATAAAATGTATGAATGTTTCATTTGTTTTCGAGTGGAACCGGATAAAATTAATGGACAATTTAGTTGATTATCAAAATTTTGTTGTATTTTACAAAA